AGGCACCTCAGGGATCCTGGACTTGGAAAACTTGCAAAGCTGCTACTAGAGCCTCTGTCCTTCTCCTGAGCTTTCTCTCTTTCTTTTGGCCTTCATCTTGCCCCTATTATAAAAGCTAAGTTCAGTAGTTTCTGTAAGGTGCTATCTGGTCCTATAGTTTGCTCCTGCAGTTTCCTTCTAATATCAGGAGCTGCCTGTCATAAACTTATCCTGCAGACTGAGCTGTCCCTCAACTGAATCAGGGAATAAGGAGGTGTACTCAATTAGTGCCTCAATTAGCCTTTCCATAAAGGGCCATAGAACTCTCATCTGAATTTGGTCTATCATGGCAGCTTAGAATAACTAAGATATTTAGTCCTCTTTTTCATAAGCACTCCAATATGCACATTAAGAAGTACTTTATCCATTTATCTCCTAAGTTATTGGGGTTCTAATCAGGGTTGTTTACTAAAAGTGCTTATCTCCCTGTGGGGAGTGGGGTTTCCACTACTTCTTTACCTTCCATATCTCCTCCTTTCTTTTTGGTCTGCCATAGAAGATATGTTGCTCATCTCTGTATTTTTCTGCTGCCTGCAGAACTGCCTGCTTTTCAGCTACTGTGAGGGTCTGATATAGGAACAACATAATATCCCTCCATGTGAGGTCAAACCTGAGTTACATTTTGGGAAGCTTCTTCTATATACTTATAAGTGATGTCATAAAATTGACCTAGGTCTCCTTTTATTTGCCCAGGGTCTTATAATGAGAGGAGAACTTAAAAGGGCCCAAAATAAGGTAGATAATTAGATGGTTCCCCTGGAAGTGGCTTCTCTAATTTTAGAAAATTGTTTTCTTTTGGCCTGCCTGATATGATTGCTTAAAGAGATGGTTTACAATGCTTACAAAGGTTCAATAAAAATGCCATGTTCTTATGTAAAAAAAAAAAAAAATGAGTTGCTTTTTTCCCCCAAGTCCTAAGCTTAAAGAAGTTCCTGTGTTTCAGTCTGCACTGCAGAGGAGTGCAAACTGAAGATAATCTGTTAACCATCTAGAAAAAGAAGTGAAAATAAAAGTGTTCTATTCATTTCCTTCCTTTCTGCGTGACACAGAGAGGAGAAGAAGACAGTGGGAGTGTACCCTCAACTGTTTTCCCTTCTCAATTCCTGGGTTTCAGTACCCTTTTAAATCTGATGCCCATGATTGTAAGCATGAACATCCATGCCATGGCACCAGAGGAACTAAGTTTTAGTCCTCATGATGCTCACCCAAGTAGCTCTGGTCTTCTGCCTTTGATTTCTGTTGATCTCCTAGACTTGTGTGATCTGTGTGAGGGAATGTGCTATATTGCCTGCAATTATGGCCCATGCTAAAGCATTTACCCTTAGTAAAATGATTCTCATTAACTTCCAGACTTAAAATCCCCTTACTAATTAAGTACTGTCTTAATAGAAGACAGAATAGGTGACTTAAAGGGACACGGGGACTTAACGGCAATTTTTATGCTGATGGGACAGTATTGGGACTAACATTTGGCTGTGGAGAACATTTGACTCCTATTAGTTGAAAGCAGAATTTTCCCATTCATAGAAGTAGCATAAAGCCTGGTTTCCAGTAGAAAGGCACAAAAAGAAAGAACTGGGAAGGTTTGAGATATCACAGAGGACCAGCAATGTGTCTTAAGAAGATTTCTATTTCCACTATGTTTGCTTAGAAATACCATGAGCTCACCAGAGGAATATTAGCAAGTAACCCCATTTTTGGTGAAAGGGATACCTCTGTTTCTAGAAAATTGCAATGGCATTTTCCTGTGCTATATCCCTGATTACTACATCATTTCCTGACCTTGCCTAACAGGATTATTTCCCTAGGCTGTGAAAATTCCCACACATTTGGCAGAGAGACTAAGAGACATAACAATTGTGGATAGAAAAAGAAGGGAAGTTTTGTGACAGGGTAGCTCAGGATCCTTTAACAACACTCAGAGCAAGCTGACAGAGGCTGGGTTCAGTCCGGAAGCCTTTGAATAGCGCCAGCAATTGCCTTGGCCAGAAATTCTCAGTTGCTTCAGAACTTTACCCAGCCTTCTATAATGGCTAAATTTCCCTGCAAAAAGAAACAGATTTGAAGCATGGCCAACATTTCCTTCTAATGACCCATGGATTCAGAGGTATTCTCCATGTTCTCACCAGCAAGCCTGACATCTGAGTCTTTAGAACAACAGCCATATAGAGCTTATCTAGATGGCTGACTGATGCCCATTAATTGATTTGATTTTGATTTAAAAATACAGGCCGGCCGGGCACAGTGTCTCACACGTATAATCCCAGCACTTTCGGAGTCCGAGGCAGGTCAAGAGATGGAGACCATGAGGTCAAGAGATGGAGATCATCCTGGTGAATGTGGTGAAACCCCACATTCTCTACTAAAAATACAAAAATTGACTAGACACGGTGGTGTGTGTCTATGGTCCCAGCTACCTGGGAGGCTCAGGCAGCAGAATTACTTGAACCCAGGAGGCAGAGGTTGCAGTGAGCCGAAATCATGCCATTGCACTCCAGCCTGGGTAACAAGAGCGAAACTCCACCCGCCCCCCAAAAAAATACAGGCCAAGAGCCTCTGAATGATAGAACAGATTTGAGTTTGCTCCTCTATTTATCACTCCAATGAATGTTGTACCTTGGATTCTTAGCCAAAACACTGAAAATGGTATGGCTCTGATAACTGGAGAAACACCAGAGTCCTTTGTCTTGTGCTGAAAAAATGACCAGTATGGTCACATGTGTAGTGGTTTTAGGGGGAGAAAGTTTAATAGACAAGAAAGAAGAAGACAGCCATCCTGTACACAAGGAAGAGGGCTCCAGATTGAAAATCTCACTTGTGATGTAAAGCAGTCAGTTATATTGGGAAGCTGGGGATGTGGTATCTGATTTGCATAAGGCTCAGGAAATTGTTTTGACCAGATGTGGCATTCACATAGCCTGTGAAAAAACTAGCCCTCCCACCCTAGCATTTTAATATGCAAATGTGGGTCACCAGATATCCTGCACACACAGCCTTATCTGGAGGCTGCTATGAAACCTGGCACATGTGGTGACAGGGAGAAGACAGTGGGAACCCCCATATTGGATGGACCTAACTTCTAGCCTCTGGGATTTGCATATCAATGCTTGCTGGTTTGGTTTTTCAAGTCACTTTCTGTTAGAACAGAAATGGTTGGGCACCTCTTTTTATTAAAGGAAAATTCCAAGAACTTTTACCCTTTCTAACTGCCTAAAATGTATTTCTTAATAACATCTGTGTTAATTCTATGTTGTCTGAATCTAGAATCTGTGTTTTTCACCACCGTATTATATTACATTATATTATATCATCCCAGAGTGGTAGCAATCTAGCACCATGAGGTATTGTAGTTAAGAATCTTATTTTCCTAGGACTGAAAAAGTCTGGAAGCCATTTGAGAAGCTTTATATAAATTGTGTAACATAAACAAATTCAGACATGATAAATAGAAACTACATGTTAGTCTATATTATGAAAACCTGTAGTCCTCCCACACTTAGACATCAAAAAGAAAGACCATACTCTGACAATGCTAGACTGTAAGATGAAGCCATTTCACACTTCACCAAATGGATTGTGATCTAAGAAATTAAAATTAGGATGGACTATCTCATAGTTCCACCTAATGATTCACTCTTCATATTATTTCTTCCACTTTCTGTAAGTCTAGACTGATTCAGATATTTTAGGACCTAAGAAATCAATGTTTCCTCTAAAGTTTCATTCAGTGGAAAAGAGCCCAATCTAATAAGGAGATAAAATTACTATCTAATAATAGATAATAATTCATTAGACAAACTGGGGAAAGGAGGCTTTATAATGTGAGGTGATTAATTGTAAGTTTTTAGGGGAAATATTATTACTGCTACAAAAATAGGGATAAGAAAGCATATGAATCAAACCAAGATGTGTGGTTTTTTAATACCACCATGTCTAGCAGTGAAATTAACAGACTGCTTCTTTAATCATATGTAGGAATTACAGTATCCCATGAAAAACTTAAGGTTTCTTGGAAGGAAAAACTGAATTAGAGACAAAATTCAGAGTAGCTGAAACATTGACTACAAACCTACCTGTAGAAATCATTTTTTAATAACTCCTGTATTGAATCTAGAATCTGTGTTTTTTCACCACAACACTATATTACATTATATAATATCATCCCAGAGTGGTTGCAACCAAGTATCATGACATATGTGGATCTCATGATAGAAATGAAGGTCGCCATGATTTCCTGCACACGTGGCCTTATCTGGAGGCTGCCATAATACCTGGCATATGTGGTGACAAGAAGCAGAGGGCAGGAGCCACCATAGTGGATGACCTGGCCTCTAGCCACCCGGCATTTGCATGTCAATAACTGTGAGTCTGGTTTTTCAAACTGCTTTCTGTTAGAAGAGAAATGACTTTAATTTCTTAAATTAAAGAAATTAATTTACTTAAATCTAAAACTAGGTTAAAAGAAATGGATAGTAAAAACTAAAAATTATAAATACCAGTCATGTCTACAAGCTAGTTTTAAAACAAGAATGCTAGTATCTACCAATGCTCTCATTCTTTTTGGTGCCATATAGATAGATAGATAGATAGATAGATAGATAGATAGATAGATATAGATATAGCTATAGATATATATTTGTATATTTTAACAATTCTTTGTATGTTCCCTCCCTTTTCATGTGTGTATACATACATACATATATAGATATTGTTGATTACCCATGAATTTAGCCCAATAAATTACAAAATAATTCTAAACTATAAAGGTTATCACTCAAAAATTTTGCATGTCCAGTTGGAGCAATAATATATATGACTTAAGGGAGGAATTTGGTGAACATTTGGTTTAAAACATTATGGGTGCTTTTTTTCTGGCAAAATTATTTTTAAGTGTAAGTAAATAAGTAGGGTATAAAAGAAGTTTGACAATGAAATACAGCAATTTAAGTAGAAGCTGCACTTTTTATGTTATTTTATTTGGAGACAAAGTTTCTTTCACTGTGAACTTGAAGGGGGCAGTTACTTGGTCTTCTCACACCCAGGCAGGATATAGCTTCATGATTTAAACTGAGCCAATTAGAATGTCCATTCGGAATTTCTAATGTAAAGTAAGTGCTGCAAAATGAAGAACACAAAACTAATTAGTTTTAAATGATGGCAGCAAAGTGTCAGAGTGTCCAGTGCCAAGCAGCAACAAGCAGTTGTAGCCATTGATATCCACGGATAATGCCAGTAACAATAACTTAACCATCTCAGTGAGAAATTTAGATTTCACTCTAAATCTCTGGAAAGATACTTAAGAAGTACAACTCAGGTGACTGTGTGATTTAATTAACATTTTGAAACCTCATTTTAGACACCAAGAGAAGAACAGACTGTTGAGCATCAAGAATGGAGACAGGAATAGACATCAGTAAGTTCTAATCCAAGTGGATTAAAGTTGGTAGCAATTTATTGAGACATGCATAGTAAGTACCCCAGGTAATTCTGTAGAAGTTAATAGAAAAAAAAATTATAAATTTTCTAAGCTTTAAAAAGTTGTTCATTTGTTAATATGTAACAAATGAACTTTTTTTTTAATGTAAAGTGCAAGTATAAATGCTGCCTATTTTATGATATAAAATAAAAGTTGTGTTTAGGTCCATATATAATATGAACTAATCCACTAGCACATGTTAATTACATGCTAAATATGTGCCAGTGACTGTACTGAAATTTGAATATTTTAGTTGAGCAATATATACTTAACAAACCACAAATTACTGGCACAGAATAATTCACAATGTTAGCACTATATATCACCGTACGTTTCTTATGATAACATCATATAGACATTTTTGCAGTTGAGAAGAAAAAATTCTTGTATAAAGGAAAATTGAAGTACACACAATTTCTTTGATTAATTTTTTCCTCAACTTTTGTTCTCATAATTTGAAAGTCTTTTTTTTATTTAGGTTGGTTCTTAACTATTCTAATAAAACCTGACAATATGTTTTGTAGGAGGTGAGTTTGATCTATTTATATTTCTCATAAGAATGAAAATAATGAGCTTTTTTCTCTAACTGATACTTTGTTTTCCCTGAATTTTTCATTTTTGTTGTCCTTTTGCAAAATTACTGATTTTTTTTCATTGCACTGTTTTAGAAATTATGGACTCTTTTTATTCTTTGAATATTTTTTCTTAAAAAATATTATGCATATAACTTTACAACGTCTACATTCATTTAGATTTTGTCACATAAAACTACCCCAGAACTTGATGGTTTAAGACATTGGTTGTATTTTCTCACTATCATAAATATCAACAATTTGAGCAACTGTCCTTTATAGAGTATTACATCTGAAGCCAACTGGCTGAGGGCTAGTTTAGGGATCACCTAAGAGGGTTTGTTTCTACCCCAGATAATCTTCTCCTTTAGTAGACTAGCCCGATGTTCATTACCTGATGGAAAACAGTTCCTAGAAGTCAGAGAAGGACACCTTAATTAATGTTTTCTTAAAAAAAAAAAAAATCTGCTTCAACACTGAGTAAACAGATCAATTGGTCATGCCCAGAGCTAATGTAAGAGAAAACTACACATAACTGTGGATAGAAAGAAGTATAATTCACTGGAAGATGGGAAGATTTTACTTGTAACTGTGATGACATATTCATTGTAAAGACTTTTAGAAATAATTTGACTACATTTATCCTTCTCCTAAATTACCGTCTTCTGAGATTATAATAGTTACTTTTATATGTCAACTTGACTGGGCAATAGGAGCCATAGATATCTCACTAAATATTATTTCAGGAGTGTCTGTGAAGATGTTTCCGGAAGATATTAGCATCTGAATTAACAAGTGCAGTAAAGAAAATCACCCTTGCCATGCCAGTGAGTATCGTCCAATCCATTAAGGGCCTGAATAGAAGAAGAAAGCTGAGAAAGGTTGGATTCACCCCTCCTCTGCCTGAGTGCTTGAGGTAGAACATTGATCTCTTCCCCTTGGCCTTCCTGGTTTTCAGGCCCTCAAACTTGGACTGGAATCTAGGCCATAGGCTCTCTAGCTCTCTGGACTTTAAACCACATCACCAGCTTTCCTGGGTCTTCAGCTTGGAGGTGGAAGATCATGAGATTTTTCAGCACCCAAATTCATGTAAACCAATAACCTTATAATAAATATAAATGTGTATATATATATATATATATATATATATATATATATATATCCTATTAATTTTGTTTCTCTGAAGAACCTTGACTATATAGAGATCCACTATGTTAATTTGAATTTTCACCCCAAACTCAGCATTATTATTATATTTTCCATTGATATTCTTTTGTTACTTTATGTAGTCCGCAAAGGCTTTGATTGACTTATACCTCAATAATTCCTTTACTCATATTCTTGTTGGCACCTCAATACTTCTTGAGAGTATTTTCATAAGATTCTGCAATAGTGCTCTTTTTGAAACGTATTTCAGATTTTGTTTCCCTATTTTAATCTGAAAAGGTTTATATTTTCATTTTTGTAAGATAATTTTTGGTTATTGAAATTTAAAGTTAACATTTGTTTTCTTCTAATGAATATTAGAAGAAAATACATTTGTTTGAGAATACTATTGCACTCCCATCTAAATTTAAACTAATTAATAAATGATCTGCATTTTCTCTCATATTGCTTTTAAGATCACCTCTTTGACTTTGGTGCTCTAAATTCAAAGAAATAAAAGTAAAATATTTACTTGCATGCTTCTGAAGAGAACATTCGGTTGTTTGATTAATGATCATTTGGCTAACAGTCATTTTTAATATAAAGCAAGTTTTTTTAAAAAAAATCGAAACCTATTTTTTTTTTAATAATATTCAATCAGAGTCAAACATCTTGACTTACCCTCCGGACTATGTCTAAATTTTAACAGTCAAAGCTGACCCTGAGCATGATCCTGCCATTCACTTCAAAGAAACATTGCAGTGAAAACCAATCAAAAGTATGCGAAAGAGAAAGAAAACAATGTTCTATTACTTAGACATGCCAAATGTTAAAACCATTGTCAATTTGTCAATCTTCACGAAGAATGTATTCTTATATGACAGATATGGCTGAGGTATGCTTTCTCTCAAATTGAGTTTAAATACTCTTTAAAGAAAAAAATGCAATAAAAATGCTATGTGACTATTGTTGATTTGTTTGTATATAATTTTCTCTGCATTTATTGTGTTTCCTATATTTGTGGAGATTTATAAGTTTTTCATCCTATTTTTTATACCATTACATCTATTTTTTAATTTTCTATATCTTTGATGCATCTTTATGATGCATAATATGTCTTTAGCTTATCTTAATTTTTGAATATTTTTAACAACCATTTCTAATACTCTAACAATGTCACTAAGTTAATGTTAGAAGAACTTTATTTCTAAAAATGGTTTGTTTTAAATCTGATAGATATGTGCAATAATTTATTATTAGTCAGTATACAATTTTTATAGCAACATTATACACTAAATTTGATTATATATATAAAGCCTCTAGGACTCAATATTTGCTGTTGGTTGTTCCTGATTATTTGTACTCATAGTTTCATTCTTGTTCAGGTGGGCCTGGAAATTTTGTATTTAAGCTTATATTCTTCATAACTAATCTAAGTAAAGATAATATATTTCTTTAAGTATTGACCATGGAGTGCATTTCTCTATAAGGCAGAAAAATTAAGTCTGGAGGCAGAAAGCATAAGGCTGATGCACACTTCAGCTATCACAGAAAACATCATCTTTATAGGGTATATGCCATAAATGACTCTGTAACTTTACTTTATTCTCTTAATTTACATAGAGTATTCCCAAACCAGTGAAATCTTCTGTGGGGTATTTAAACTCTCAAAAATTCTGTAACAGAGCCTTTGAGCCCCTATGCTCAGGCCCACGCTCACACTGTGGAGTGTACTTTCATATTCAATAAGTACCTTCATCGCTTCCTTGCTTTGTATGTTTTGTCCAATTCTTTGTTCAAGACACCAAGAACCTGGACATGCTCCACCACTAACATATTTTGGAAAACCAGCAAGGAGAAACAGGTAAGTCCAAGTTGGGGATTTATTATTCTGTTTTCTCCTTTTCCTTTCTGCTCCATACAGGGGAATCTCTCTCTTTTTCTTTTCAACCCAGGACCCTTGGTGGACAGTGCCTAAGCATGGTAGCACCTGCAGGTTTCTGGTCATGGCCAGTGAAACTAAGGACTTTCAATGTGGAGAAGCCTGACTGGCACCAACCAGTTAACTTAAGGAAACTGGGTTTTTTTGTGTGTTTTTTTTCTCTCCCCCACCTTTTTTGTTTTTTGTTTTTGTTTTTTTCAGCCTTTCAGCAGCTGTTTTCTGGTAGCTCCTTGGAAATTGAGAGCAATTGGCTTGGGCTTAGAAATAAATGGGAATAATTGCCCTGTCCCAAAGTGAGGAGAACTTTTTAAAAATATTTTTCACGCAATGTAACCAGAGCAGCCACAGTCTGATCCTTTGGAACTTAGGTTCTGAGCTTCCCAACCCCAAAGAATGGGAAAGGCCTCGGTGTCGCGGTGAGTGTTACAGCTCAGATAGAACTCATGGACCCAAAGAGTGTGCGGTAGTGCAATTTACTAGGCAGAGTGGAAGGACAGCTTCCACCCAGTAGAAAGGGACCTGGAGGGGTTGCCACTCCAGGCTTGGGCAGATAGAGCTTTTACCCCGAGTTATTCCCTCCCCAGTTGTTCTTGTCCAAGAAGTGACGTTCTTTTAAACTTCCTCTGGATTAATTGATCTATGAATCCTTTACCAAATTGGCTATTGTTTTACAATCCTGAGTCACTGAGACTCCACCTTCAAGGGCCAGACGCAGGAAACGTTTCTGCCCCTGAAGAAAGCCTCTAGAAGCCACAGGCAGAAAAACCGGAGACAAAGCCCCTAAGAGGCAGAGGTGGGAACATCAGAGACAAAGCTCCTAGTCAACGAGAGGCAGGAAAACCAGAGACAAAGCCCCTAGCCAGTCAGACAAAGGAGGAGTCCTGCACTCAAAACAAAACCCCCAGCCAACTCCGGAAGTCCCTCTAACACATCCCTCAGTCCCCGCTCTGAACAGGAAAGTCCAACTGCTGTTGTGACACAGGTGTCGATCGCTCAAACTACTTTCTGCTGAACAGGGGCGGAGAAGGGGCCTTGCACCTGACGTTTCCTCCAGAGGGGAGTCTTCTGAGGTTACAGGTCTATCTAGTGGTCCAGGATAGAAATCATGAGTCAAGAACATTTGGGGTTCCATTTACAAGACCATGTATAGCTTCACAACCTCAATTCTGGAAGAAACAAATTTGACAAGAAAGTTGAAGATGAGACACCCAAAGGCAAGCAATAATAGGATGATTATTAGGGGCCTAGAAGTGGGGAGACCAGGGTAACCAGTTGTTAAGCAAGCTCCATGATCTTATTTCTTGGAGGTTCATAGACCTGCATTCTATTAAATCCCCGAGTTCTTTAACCTTGTTTAGGATGATGACTGATTTGTTAACAAAGTAATAGCATTCTTTTCCTAAAAAGAAACAAGTTCCTTCTCTCTTTGGTATAAACAGATCTAGTGCCTTTTGATTTTCAAGAGCCACAGCAGCTAAAAAGTGATGAGTGAATCAGATAGAAACCTTTTCCATGTACTTATTTAACTCCTAGGATAGCTTATAGTAAAACTGAGTAGAGGTAGTACTTCCTCTAATGCTGGTACTAAGCCCATCTATTATTCTGGCTCCCAATATGAATGGAGGAATTGGGGATTGAGTATGGCATGGCCAGGGCAAGAGAAGACTCTGCAATTGAGAATCGGTATAAATGGTCTTTGGGGGCACTAGGAAGGAGAGGAGGCATATTTGTCCCAGGGTATTATTTAGTCAACGATAAGCTAGGAGCCACAAATGAAGAATAAGCCTGTGGTAGGCAGTTGAGGCCCAGGGGTAAGGTAACCCAGCTTCGGCATAGAGAAGCATTGGAGTCATTAGTAAAGTCCACACAAGTGAAGTTGGAGGCAGATGGAATTTGTAGATTGGTGACCAAGAGACCTATAAGCCCCGTATGATTTGAGGGTGGTTAGTTATGTTCCTTAAGCATGTAATTGAAACGAAGATATATGGTTTGAAGCATAATGGGAGGCACATCCAACAGTCAGTTGGGTTTTTGGAGGTGGCCTCATGCATTCCTGTGAGGGTGGTGTTAAATAAGTTGAGCAGACTGGAGTGTATATGAAAGGTTTCATGTAGCTTAGAAAGGTCCAGGCCCTTGTTGGGACTGGGGTTGCTTACTGGTTTGCTTAGGCTAGAAATTACTTCCTGTAGATGAGTTTCCTGTGCCTGATCTTGAATTCCACCCCCATCTGAGATCCCAGCATGGGTAAAATGTGTCCAGCAGGTGGTGGTTCCCTTAGCAGCTGGACATTTAGGCCCAGTTACTGCTCTCATCCAAGATGTGTGTGAGTTGCATGTGCACAGGGAAGTGGACGTATAGCAATTTTTGTGCATATAAGTATAGGATATAAAGGAGGCCTGTCGCCCTGATCCCCAAGATCAACCAGAGAGCAGACTTGTTCCCTGTCCACTATTGTTCCAGTTGTAACCCCTTTGGGTGCATTTGCAAGTGGGATGAGAATGAAGCAGGGAAGAAGCAGCGAAGAGGATAATGAGGAACACAAGAGAAGTCATAATAAGAGATTGATAATATCAGAGACAGAGGAGGAGGGCTATTAGAACTATAATTAGGCATTAAGCACAGACATGGAGACTCTATGTGATGTGGGCCAATCCTTAGGGGCGATCGCATAGAGTCCGCTTTCAAATAGTAAAGTTAAGAGTGATATTCCTGTCAATGCCAGGATTTAAGTCAGAATCATGATTAGTTACTTTCCTGGGGATCTCGTTGGAAGAGCAAATGTAGATTCTCTAAAGGCTTACAGGTTTGTGAAGGGCAGCCTCCTGGAACCTCAGGCTGTGGAGCAGAGGGCCTATGATCTTCTTCAGGAGGCATCCAACATTTCAGCCAAGTGTGATCCATCTGTGATCCAATTCCCACCACCTTAACTGCCTTTGGGGTAGACAGAATAACTGAAAATGGTCTTCCCATGAATGGACCTAGGAAGGAAGAGTCAGAGGGGAGAGACTTGACAAATACTAAATCTCCTGGGAAGAATAACTCTTTCCCCTTTTTCTTAGGGTATCCTTCAGGTAAGGTCTTAAGGGCCTGTTGGTACTTAGCCAAGGAGGTTATATCTTTTATTATATCTGCTTTTTCTTTTTATTTGTCTAATATGAGATCATTGGTAAGAAAGAGTCATCCGTAAAGTATCTTGTAGAGACTGAGTCCTATTTTTCTGAGGAGAGTTTAGAGCCCTTAAGAATGCTGTTGGTAACAGAGTGGACCATGGGAATTGGGTTTCCTGTGCCAGTTTTTTAAAGTGTCTCTTAAGATTTGTTCATCTTTTCCACTTTTCCTGAGGACTGAGGCCTTCAAGCATAATGGAGATGATATTGTTATTCCTAATGCTTTGAAAATTAAAGAAGTTACTGCAGCTCTGAAAGTGGGGCCGTTAGCACTCTAAACACATTGAGGGAATCTGAATCTAGGGATTATTTCATTACTCAGGACCTTTATTAACTCTTGGGCTTTTTTTGTCCTGCAGGGAGAAGCCTAAACCCAGTTTGTGTATGTATCTACACATACTAACAAATGTTGATATCCTTGAGACTTAGGTGTATGGGTAAGAACCAAGTCAGTGTTCCACAGGAGGAATTTTGCGATGTGCTAAAGGATTGTTTTTCTGGCATATTTCACATCCTTTGACTATTTGTTGGATAGTCTTGAAGAGCCCTTTTTTGTAAATATAGATTTGACCATTCTATATGTATTTTCTATACCCATATGGAAGGTTTGACGTAGGGTTTTAAGTACTTTCCACTGCCTGGCAGCAGGTAGGAGTACTTATCCTTCCTCCGTGGCTAGCCTCCCTGAAGGAAGAAGATTATGTCCCTGGGAGATTGCCCACTCTACCTTTTCCCATGAGTATTGAGGTCTCGTCCCCTAGAAAGGGTTTTGCCCTTTTTGCATCTAGGTCAGCTCGGGGATTGTCATCTGTTTTCTTTTCGTCTCTTCTGGTGACCTCACCCTACCTCCTTAGGTTGTTGAACAGCTTGTAGTAAGCGTAAAATGCATGATATTTAATGGGAGCTCCTGCTGAGGTTAAGAATTATCTTTCCTTCCATATAGCAGCATGGGCATGGAGAAACAGGTAAACACATTTGGAATCTGTGTATTTGTTTATTCTCTTTTCTTTTCCTAATTTTAGAGCTCGAGTGACGGCTACTAGTTCTGCCAGTCGAGCACTAGTTCCTGGAGGAAGGAGATTATTTGGATCACTGTTTGATCACTGACTACTGCATATCTTGCCTTCAAAACTCTATTTTCCATAAATGAACTGTCAGTGTATACATTAAGGTCAGGATTGGCTAGAGGAGTTTCTAAGAGATCTTAAGCCACATAGAACCTGCTATGCGGTTATTTGGGCTGTGACCTGCTGACAGTCATGTTCTCTGTCTAACCCTTCCTCAGGAAGAAAAGTAGCTGGATTGAGGGCTGCACATGTGTGCAGCTGAAGTACAGGCCCTTCGAGCATTAAAGCCTGATATTTGAGTAAGCGGTAGTCAGACAGCCACAATCCGGTTTTAGAGGCCAGAATTCCAGCTACATCATGTGAAGTTCATATGGTTACATCACTTCCCTGCACTATTTTGATGGTTTCTGAGACCAATATAGCCACAAGAGCTATTATCCACAAGCAACGTGGCCAGTCTTTTGCTACTGCATCAATTTCCTGACTTAGGTATGCTACTGGTTGTGGAATAATCTCATGAGTCTGGGCGAGGACCCCCAGTGCCACTCCTGACTTTTCTGTAACATATAAGGAAAAGTCATTCCCTGTAGGAAGGCTCAGAGCTGGAGCCTGCAGTAATGCCTGCTTCAGGGTCTGAAAGGCTGTCTCAGCCATAGGGCCCCATTGTATTAGATGGGTGTTAGCTTTTTGGGTTTCCTTAATCAGAGTGCATAGGGGTTTGGCTATTTTGCCACATCTGGGAATCCACAATCTTCAGAAACCGGTGATTCCTAAAAATCCCCACAGCTGTTCTAAGGTTTTTGGATGGGGAAAGGTTAATATGGTTTGGATTCATTCTCCATCAATGGCCCGGGTTCCTTTGGTCAAGACAAGTCCTAGGTATTTTACCTGTTGTCTACAAAGTTGGGCTTTAGATTAGGAAACAAGATTTAGGAGGATAGATAGTTTAGGAGGTCCTGGGTGTCCTGCTGAAACTGGGTTTCTGAGTTAGCCATTAAAAGTAAGTCATCCATGTATTGAAGGACCAGGGTACCTGGATGTGAAAAATGACTAAGGTCTTGAGCTAGAGCCTGGCCAAACAAGTGAGAGCTCTCTCAAAAGCTCTGGGGTAACACTGTCCAGGTAAGCTGAGAAGTGTAGTCTAAAGGGTCTTCAAAGGTGAACAGAAACTGGGGGTCCGGATGTAATGGAACATAGAAAAAGGCATCCATAAGGTCCAGGACTGTAAACCATTGTGCCTCTCCTGTTATTTGAGAGAGCAAGGTATATGGGTTGGGTACAACTGGGGATAAAGAGATCACATTGATAAACCTGAGATCTTGCACTAGCCTTCATTGTCCATTAGGTTTTTGTAGTCCTAAAATTGGAGTATTGCAAGGACTGTTACAGGACCTCATTAGACTCTGAGCTTTTAGGTTTTTTAAAATATCCTGTAGCTGCTTTTTGGCCTTGGGTCGTAGGGAGTACTGTCTTTGGTAAGGGAAAGAGGTGGGATCCTTTAGCTTTATTTGAATTGGAAGGCATTCTTTGCCTGTCCAAATTGTCCCTCCATTGCCCAAACCTTGGGATTAATCCCTTCTTCAAATAATAGGCAGCAGAGTCAGATCTCCTCTCCGATGTTCATATAGATAACAGCTCCTGCTCTGGCTAACAGGTCCTGCCCTAGTAAGGGAGTGGGACTTCTGGGCATAATGAGGAAAGCATGGGAGAAGAGCACATCTCCCCAGTCACAGCTTAAGGGCTGGGGGGAATATTGAGAGATCGCTTGTCCTAGGACTCCTAGGATAGTTACAGACCTAGAGGACAACCATCTAGGACAGGAGAGCAAGACTGAGAAGGCCACACCAGTATCCAAGACAAGATCAACCTCCTGGCCCTCTATGGTTATCTTTACCTGGGGCTCGGCGAGGTGATGGCTTGTGCTGGCGCTTGCCCCAAGCACCCTCAGTCCTGCTGTTGGGTCATCTGATTAGCCACCTCAGGCTCTCGGAGGCTTCATCCCCTGGTACAGGGTGCCTTCGGGTGAACCCCTTGGCACAGTGGGCAAGGACGAGGAGGTGGCTCATTCTTCTTGGGACAATCTTTCTTAAAGTGTCTTTTAGGCTGCATTGGTAGCAAGCTTTGCCAGACTGATGGCTAACCCAAGCCTTTCCCCTTTCTAAGCCTCTTATGTCTGCCTGCCTGAGGGCCATGACCAGGGCCATGGCATTTTTCTTGTCCTTCCTGCCTCTTTCAGACTGATCCTCCTGGTCTCTATTATAGAACACTGAGGTTGCTAGATTTAGTAATGATTCTAGATTCTATTCCGGCCCAGGACCAGCTTTTGGAGCTTTCTTCTAATGTCCACTGCTGGTTGTGTAATAAATTTGTCTTTTAGTACTAGCTAACCCTTGACGAAGTCTGGTGACATGGGAGCATATTTTCTTAAGGCCTTCCATAACCACTCAAGGAAGACTGTTGGGTTTTCTTCCTTTCCCTGAGTTATGATGGATAACGCTGTATAGTTCATGGGTTTCTTCTTGGTCCATCTTAATCCCTCAAGAATGAAGGCCAATAGGTGCCTATGATTCCAGTCCCCACGTTCTGAATCAGGATCCCAGTGAGGGTTTACTAGGGACAGCCTATTGGCCTGAAGGGAATCTATTCTTTTCCTCTAGCATAATTTTGTCATTCACTTGACTAAGGTACCAGGTGTTCCCAAAATCTTGAGCCTCTATTGGAGTGGCTTCACTCTCATTACTGACTGAGGTCTGACTAAGCAGTAACATGGTATCTTTCCAGTCTAGTTAAAAGGACTGACCCAGGCCCTGCAGAACATCTATGTACTTCTCTGTGTCATCTGAATTTTTTTTTAAGTCCGCCGTGATTTGTTTTAAGTCGGTATAAGTGAAAAGGGAGCAGGCACTTTGGTTGGGCCAAATTCTCCTCCTACCGCCTGTGGAGGGCAGAGATGCCTGTCTTACTAACCTGTGGTACCTGGGTCATTTTGGCTTTCCCTGACTCCTCTTGGGTCATAGGAGGTGAGGCGAGCCTGTCAGTATTAGTGGAGGGAGGAGCCACAGGGTGTCCTGGGTATGGAGATAGTCCTGGGGAGCGGCCAGTAGGACATAAGTTACAAGCCTTACATAGTTGAGGATTATCCCATATAGAAAAGAAAACTTGCACATAGGGGACCTAAATCCATTTACCTTTCCTCTTACAGAAAAGGTCTAATTGTAGAAAGGTGTTATAATTTATACTTCCCGCAGGAGGCCTGGATTCTCTACTTTGAAGAGGATATTGTGGCCAGGCCGTGCTGCAGAAGAAGATGACCAAAAATGATGGTAATGAGAGTGGCACTGAGGCCTTACATTTTAATTACACTCTCACCTAAGTGAGAGTGTGACCAAAAAGGGAGAATTTTTTCAAAGAAAGTTATGGGAGGCCATTGTTTTGAACTAAGCTCACACACTGGGTCCCAACAAAACAAACCAAATCAAAATTGAGTCCTATGTGCTAAGACTTTAAGGAAACACACAGATTCTAGAACAAACCAGGTTTTGTTTTATCTCCTTGAAATCTCTGTAACAAACATTTCTGACAGCATATATATGCACACCCCAAAGTCCCATTAAATCTTTTAACCAAATTTATTTTCTCTCTCCTAGAGACCATCAAGCTTCAGATGATAATGCAACAAAGATTCCAGGCGAAGACACCAACACTGACCATCAAAAAGTAACCCTGCTTCTACCAGATAAAGCAGGGTGATTTTTATGATCCCGAAGAGGTAGGGACTACACCCCAAGCCAGCATGAAGCAGTTACATAAAACGGCCATCAGTTCCTCTACCTCCTATGAAGATTTATGGGGATCGCATCTCTTAGCAGGGAGATGAGGCAGAAAAATCAAGTCTGGAGGCCGGGAACATAAGGCCGATTTACACTTTAGCTATAACAGGAAATATCCTCTGGATAAAGTGTTCACCATAAATGACTTTGTAGCTTTACTTCATCCTCTCCATTAACACAGAGTATACACAAGTAACCAATGGAATCTTCAGGGGGTATTTATACTCCCTCAAATTCTTAACTGGGCCTTTGAGTCCCTATGCTCAAGCCCGTTCCCACACTGTGGACTGTACTATCATTTTTAATAAATCCCTTCATTCCTTCTTTGCTTTGTGTGTTTTGTCCAATTCTTTGTTCAAGACACCAAGAACGTGGACACTCTCCACTGTTAACATCTAGGTATGATTTGCTTGGATAAGAGTCACTGAACACTATTTACTCTAAATTTTCTAGCCTTCTCTTTTGTTACGTTTGTAGCTCATTTTGAAGCTTCTAGCTTACTAGAGAGCTTATATGTGTTACCCTGGAGAATAACTTTAACTGCATTGCCTGGTTCCCACACTGGGAGTTGAGCCCAGCCATCTGGGTGAAAACCAGGAATTCCTAACTGCTAGACCACCACAAAAACTGGAACTGTTGTGGCTTGTAGGCTCTTGGCCTCTTTAACCCCGAAGAATGAGGAAAGGGGCTCCGGAGGTGAGGTGGACCCAAAGAGTTTTGCAAAAGAGTTATTTATATTAGACAGACTGAGACAAAAGGCAGCTCCCACACTGTTGTGGGAGGGGAACCCAAAAGGGAATCCATTCAGACAGGGGAGGCTGAAGTTTTATTTCTTGAGTTCTTCCCTCCCCATTCATGTTTTTGTCTAATGAGAGGAATTCTTTTAAACTTCCTCTGGATTGATAGATTTTCAACTCTTTTAGTGTATTGGCTACTTGTTTTACAACCCTGAGTCACAGGGCCCCCTCCTCCAAGAGCCCTTGGCAGGAATTTGGAGACAAAAGCCCTACCTGGCTTGCCTGTGCACAGGAAGGTAGACAAAGAACTTACCTGGCCCACAGGGAGGAAGGTGCACAAAGAGCCCTAGCCATCTAAGGCAGAAAGCTGGGAAATTTCTACACTTAAAACCACAGTCTTTGTGGACCCAAGAAGGGAAGTCCCTCTAACACCTTATCTCATATGTAATCACACTGCATGGCACAAAGCTTGGTATAAGACTGTAATTCTGAAGTTCAAATTGTGATATGTAACCTAAGACAAAAGAACATCCTTAACTTTTAATTTTCTTCTCTACAGCCGCTCAGATTTCAGCTTATTATTTCACTATTCCCTTTAAAAAATATATATCTACTTTAAAAATAAAAAGTCTTTATAGATGCACCTTTAGTTTAATGATGCTTTTACACAAGGCTTTGTGGATGTGGAGTTTGGAAAGTTTTGTTGAAAATTTACCCAGAATATTGTAATTACAGAGTCTCATTTGACCATGAAATAAATATATAAAAGAAAAATTAGGAACACTATTTCATCTAGATGTTACTTATGGTTATTGTTATTAATTAAAATGCCTGACTTCTTTTTATTTTTCAAGTCTAACCCTAACCCTTTCGCTTTGTTCCCAAGTAAAATGTTTCATTAATATAAGAGTATAATAACAATTTTGCAAGATCTGCACATGTACCCCAGAACTTAAGATATAATAATAAAAAAATATTTTTAAAGAAAAAAAATTACTTGTACAGTTTTAAAGAAAGCATTTTGTTATTTGGTTAATGGTCATTTGGTTTGTGGTCATTTTTCAATATAAAGCAAGTTTTAAAAACATTGAAAACCTATTTTTAGTTTTATATAATATTCAATCAGAGTCAAGTATCTTGACTTAGCCTCAGGACTTTGTCTAAATTGTAATCGTCAAAGCTTACCCTGAGTATGATCCTGTCATTCACTTCAAAGAAAGGCTACAGTGAAAACCAGCTTCTCTTTCTCAAGAAAACAAATGAGAAAGAGAAGGAAAACAAAACTAAATTACATATACATGCCATATGCTAAATCCATTGTCAATTTGTCCATCTTCATGAAGAATGTATCCTTCTATGACAGATATAGCTGAGATATGTTTTCTCTCAAATTGAGTTTAAATAATCATCAAAGGGAAAAATGCAATAAAAATACTAACAGCAAAACAGAATTAAGTTGCATTTTTAGTCAAAGAATTAAAAGCAGGTGTTAAACATAGAGAAAATGTTTATAACATGTGTGCTGCCCAGTGAAGAACTATAGGAATAAAAAAATGTAACAATGAATTTATAAAGATAAATATAATCCACTTCTGTCGACATCTATTAAGGTAAAACAACCACAACATCAACACTGAGATTAAAATTATCTTTGTAATGCCATTTTTTGTTTCTATGAAATAAATTCAAAATTAGAGCCAAGAATAATTTTAACAGTTACAGAATACATCAATAATACATTATTACCTAGATCTTCTTCAATTCGGTGATTTTAATTTTCTGTTGAACAAGTGGGGTTTATCAGACAACTTAGCATCTGAATGTAACAGGGGAAATTGTAAAATTATTTCTTTAAATTTGCATGTCTTTGGCTCCTGAATAGCCATCAGAGTAATTGTTTCTTAAATGTTATGCAAATCTTTTCTCCTGTGTTGACCCTAATCAAAGCAATTAATTCTATAATGATGTCTTTCTTCACAGACACCATCTTATTATTATCTTGGTCTAAATTAATAACATCATGATAATAATTAGTAGATTTGAAATCATCTATTTCTTTCTTACAGCATGTGGACTCCTTATAAAAGAGCAACAGGGATGGAAATTAGAGTAAAACATGGCAGCTGTGTTGATTGGTGTGCCCTCCTAACCTTAGCACCTGCAACATCGGCCTTATTTAAATGTGAATGTGATTTGTTTGTAATGTTCTTTCCCTCACCAGACTCTACAAAGTACAAATATGTACAGTTAATAGTGTGTGTTTATGTGTGTGTGTGTGTGTGTGCGTATATATACACACACATATATATATGAATATATATCTTATGTTAACCTAAAGAAAGATGCTGAGGCAATATTAATATACGTAGAGAGTTTATTTGAAGCAAGCTTCCAGAATGCAACTTCAGAGCATAGATTCAAGTTGCCCTGAATATACACTACAATTAACAAGTACAAGTATGTTTTTAAGCGGAAAGAAGAGGTAGTTTCTAAGTTGTTTATCAATAAATTTTGTAAAATAATATATTATTGATTGATTATACATAGTTATTTGCATCATAAATTTCAAAAAGTTGAAGATACTTAGTGAGTCAGCTAGTCAGGAATGTAATGATTTTAAATAATTGCCCCCAGGCATGGGTATGGCATGGGTATGAAGAAGAAT